AAAAAAAAAAAAAACGGTGGATCAGCAAAAATAAGCGAACCTGGTACAGATGGGATAGTCAAGGCAAAGGTCCATTTATTCGGAACCAATTTAATTGACGCGGCGACGCCCCTAAATTACAAATTTCCAACTCCTTGTACACTATTACCACTCTTAAAGGCTTGCTTATTTATGGAATAATTTGTTCAAAATTAGTTATTTTAGTTAATCATAGTTAATTTTGAAAAGTTGGTATAGTTAGTTGTTAGTGGAATTTTAAGAATGTATTAAAATAATATTTAAAATAAAATAATTAAAATTGATTTGATGTAAAAGTAAGAGATAAATGATTGGAAATCACTAGTTAACATTATGTGAGTGAGTGAATAGTGAACTAAAGTTGATGTGATGTGTAAAAATGATTGGTTTGTATTATTTAATTATATTAATAATATTAAAGATAGTGAGGTTGAGTTAAAATTCAGTTAAATTTTGAGTTGAAAAAAAAAAGTGAGTAAATTATTTCATAAACAAGCAAACCCTAAGCCTCTTGTTACAAAAATTTTACAAATATTAAATCAATCTTAATCATCTCTTTTATATACTCCCTCCTATTTTTTTTTTTAATGTCATTCTAGCTTTATCAACTATATACTAAATAAATGTCATTTTGGATCTTTTGTACATATTTTTCCATTATTACCCTAATTTAGCTAATAAATACATCACGTCTTTTCATAATTACTCTTCATCTTTTTCTCAAAACATTCATCTCTATCTTAATTAAATAAGGTTATTATTAACAAAAAAAAATATTCTTAATAGATGTGCAACATCCCAAAACGACATCTATTTAAAATAGGAGGTAGTATAATTTATGAATGTACTGAGTTTAATTGACAGATTAACACATTTCTAGATCATATGTACTAAATTTCATGTTTCGTCATTTGACTTACATAGATTTTAATTTACGTTTCAAAATAATGACGCTTGGAATTATTCATAAATACTACTCGTGATCCGTGTAATGCATATATTTTATTGAAATGTTTAACATCTTGAATATTTAAATTAATATATTTGATATAAAATATATGTGTGCGTGTGTGTGAAATAAGCAGGCCGCCAACAAACTAAAAAAATATAAATTATTGAACATTTGCTTCTACACAACGTTACTGGGTTTGATTTGTTGGCGAGCTATCATCACCACATACTAATATGTCCAAACCACTTTAGTTGGTGACGTTGGAGACAACAACATAGAACTGGTCATGACTGAAACCGACTTCTTAAGAAACAAATTGACATGCGATAGCGATTGTCCCTAGCTCTTTTTTACAGTCATGGCGTAAGAAACTATATTGGGAAACTGTCGTTGCTGAAACTTGAAAAGAATTATAACTTCCGAATGAGTTATTGTCATTCTAGGAATCAACATTTTCTCGTATGTATGATCCCTAATCATTATCTTACACTCGAGAACATGAGTGGAGAGTTTTGTCACAACCACGTCCAATTACATACCCATGGAAAGATCCATGTTTCGTAACAACATAATGGAAATTCAAAATCATCAATTGCATTTGAAAAGTGGAGCTCCCGTCATGTTGTTGCAGAACATGGGTTATTTGGTATTATTCAAGAACTCAGGTGTGTGGAGATCAGACAAAAAATTTTTGTTAGAAACTGATTTGCAGATACTATTGGAACTTATATAAGTATGACCGTCACACAAATTCAACGATATCATGTACTCATTTATAGACTTGACAACATCTAGTGTCGCTGTTAATATAGTCAAGTCCTTCAAATAAATGGGATCATCGGTTGTCTGCTTGAACATTGGAAACGTGTTTTCAACGATTTGAGAACTTGTATCATCAAAGGGCACAAGTAATATATCCCCAGGTATTGCAATCATTGCACAACAATCGTTGAACCCCCTATAGTTCCATCTCCAATAACGAAGATAAAGGCAATGCAATACAATTAATAAAATAAAACACGACGACTCTTATAAATAGAAAGGGCACTACAACCACATACTTAAAAAAACAAGACCAATAAGTTGGACACTGAGATAAAAGGAAAGATCAAGCACTTCCTTTGGAAAGGCATGAACAATATACTACCAGTAAATTGTAACTTGCTTAAAAAAGGGTGCCGGTGGACAATATTTGCAGGATCTGTGGGGAAGAACCAGAAACCCAAGACCATCTTTTTTTCTACTTGTAAGAGAGCTCAACTAGTTTGGAAGCTCTCCCCTGTCTCTTGGAAAGGTATTCATGATCCATCTTGCAGCTTTAAACATTGGTAGTCGGAGGTATGTTTAATCAACAAATCACTAACATCATAAGCCAGGCTACAACTCACAACTTATATACTTTGGTGACTCTGGAAAACTTTAACCTTTTGATGTTTTCCAATGTTTAGAGACCAGAGGCTTCAACTGTCTCTCTAGCTGTGAATGATTGGAGTTTGGACTGAGTTATCTTGTGCTTGTATATAGTTTATTGACTTTTTTTGTTTGTTTGTTTGTTTGTTTGTTTGTTTGTTTGTTTGTTTGTTTGTTGTTGTTTAGTAGGTTTTGAAGGCTAGTTAGGGCCCTGATTGAATCAGTAGCTAGTCTTTTTGGTTAATCAATTCTAATTCTTTATGAGCTCAATCATGTCGGGAGTAGAAGCCAGACCCCGGGTCCTTTGCTTTGGTCTTTGCCGATGGCTAGACTATTTCTCCCTTTCCCTCTTCTTTTTCTTAGTTGGCTATGTTAGTTGGACCTTTTGCTTCTTGTATATTGTGGTGCATGAGGTTAGTAGGCCTCCGAACTTTGTATATTTTTTTTTCTCTGTATCGTTGCAATTTTATCAGATGTCCTCAAAAAGACATATCTTAATAACATATCTTGTTGTTTACAAAAAAAAAAAAAAAA